GATCACCTTCTGGCACATGATTCCGTGAGGATTCAGGACGCGGCTCGAGAGCCCTTGGAGCCAGTCTGCAGGGCTGTAACAGAAAAGTTACTGTCAACACAGCATATGTTAGCGCTCATACAAGAACTTGAGGATGATGCGGAGAAAGCTCCGTCTAAGGGCTAAGGTGCTTCGTTGAGTAATAATAATTTGACTGGGTTCATTATGGTGATTTCTGTGTTTTGTTGTGAAAAATCCCTGGAAGACATGCGTGGCAGTTATAGCCATTTGACTTCGGGGCCTGAATTTTATGTGATGGTTTGACCACGGAGGCGACAGCGCTTATGTTCCATTGTCCTCTTTAGTAGGACGGGAGATTATGAAGAGATAGGAAAAGAAGAAGAGAATGGGAGTCAAAGGCTATATCGATATTTGAACAGAAAGAGAAAAAGAAAGATTGTTGTTCTACTTTCTTTCGGTTTCCTCAATGACTGAGCTAAGTTAGGCATGTGCTGTGCTGTACAGCAGCAGGAGCTAAATAATTGAATAGAGCTCAAACTACTAACTGCCTTACCTACCCTAGCCTATCTACCTTACCTTAACTTATCCACTACTAAGTAAGTTACTGGCTACTGGTACTAGTAACGGTGCGGATTGCCCCGTTGCAGTTCTCCCACATTGGCTGGCTTTCAGTCTCCCTCCCGGCCCTCACCAACTCCATCCAGCCCAGCCCATTCAATCCCATCCATCCACATCTTCCCTTCCCTCCTCCTCCTCCTCCTCCTCCTCCCTCCTCTCTAAGTTACTAGGTGCTCTCTCCTTCCTCCCTCCACTCACTCTCTGTCTCTCTCCCCCGTCTCTCCGTTCTCTCCGTCTCTTCCTCCCTTCCTCAGGCTCCTCCTCCTCCTCCACCTACCCTCCCATTATTCCTATTCCTATTATCCTTTTACCGTCAAACTGTCACCACATCGCACACCCACCGATAAGTTACTATTTGTGATTCCCCATTCTACCTACACACTTAAGCTCTTTGTCTTTTCCTCATCACCTGCGACCTCTTCTCCGTCCTATCTTAGCCGCCTTACTCTTTCCCGATTACCTCCCTCCCTTACCATCTCATCGTTCTGCCTCCCTTTTAATCAATCTCTCTTATTCTAATCCACCTCCCATCTCCCCCCCCCTCCCCCCCCGGTCCCCCCCCCCCCCCTGTTCACCGCATTTACCTTTCCTCCTGTCCACCTCCTCTCGGACTCCAACAACTTTCGCCTGAACATTCACACAGTCTCTTTGGTGACTTTCTTGGGTAGCCCAAGGTTTACAATATGGTTGTAGCCACAATCAAGTACGTTCTACTATTCTCTTTATTCCTTTTGTCCCCACGATTCTCATCCCCTTCCCGCTCTTTCATTCCCCTCCCCCCCCCCCCCCCCCATTTTACCCCCCGTTTCTCTTCCTCCCGCAGCCTCTGCCCCCTTTCTTTAAGTCTAATACTGGTCTTTTGGCACTCTCTTCCTTGGGCGACCTGCTAATCTGTGTCTCTTTTATCTTGCAGGTGTGTTGTCGTCGGTGACGGTGCGGTTGGAAAGACTTGCCTGTTAATTTCGTACACAACGAACAAGTTCCCCTCGGAATATGTTCCTACCGTCTTCGACAACTATGCTGTCACGGTCATGTAAGTCGATGTCCTCTGCCCCCATGCACGGCGAGCACCTTGAAACGCTCTTGGGTGAAATGCGCAGCATCATGCCATCGATCGCGTCATTGTCGCTCTCTCTTCCTGACATCGGATCCAAGATGATCACATTGCGACTCTTCCTCAATAGATGGCTGACTCGATGACTATCATTCTTGCGCATTAGGATTGGCGATGAGCCATACACCCTGGGTCTCTTTGATACCGCCGGCCAGGAGGATTATGATCGTCTCCGTCCTCTTTCCTACCCCCAAACCGATGTCTTTCTCGTCTGCTTCTCCGTCACTTCCCCCGCCTCCTTCGAGAACGTCCGCGAAAAATGGTTCCCTGAAGTTCACCACCACTGCCCTGGTGTTCCTTGTCTCATCGTCGGCACCCAAACCGATTTGCGCGACGATCCCGCTGTTCGGGAAAAGCTTTCCCGTCAAAAGATGCAGCCCATTCGCAAGGAAGACGGAGACCGGATGGCTAAAGAATTGGGCGCTGTGAAATACGTGGAGTGTTCCGCCTTGACGCAGTACAAGCTCAAGGACGTCTTTGATGAGGTTCGTTCTGCTAGCGCCCGTGATTTTGCATATAGAGGAAGCTGACAGATCGGTTTGAAGGCCATCGTTGCCGCCCTAGAGCCTGCGCCCAAGAAATCTAAGAAGTGTGTGGTATTGTAAAACAATCACGTCTCCTACATCGCAGGCTGGTACGCGCCAGAGGATTGCACACTTGTCGTCGGGGCATCACAGACATGTCGTATGATTTTGGAGGAACGGATTGTTTTATTTCACAATACGGAGTTTTGGGAATTTCACCCGGAGGAGGGGCTGGCTTACTCGACCACCGTCTAACCTGAGACTTTTATGTGTTTTTGTCTCCGATCATTGAGTGAATATCATCCATGCAGCCCGCAGCCCTGACACCCGAGTGCAAGACCCGCCGTGACTCGGTTGCACCGGGGAAACTGCTGAGGGCTCTCCCAAGCAAGAACAGGGTCACCAACATATACTCTACCATATCGCCCATCAGCTCGTCTTCCGATTGATGCCGTGTACAATTGGCCCCCGATTTGAACCCCTCCGACCCCTTCCCACTATCTATGCTCATCTCTCCGTGCTCATTCGATTGCCCTTCCACTGTCTACTTAACTCCCTCCCGCCTTCTCCGATCCTTTCCTTCTCTTCTCTTTTCCCCTTCTACTTCCTTTCTAAACTCTCATCGTCTTTATTGGCGTTGGAAGTCGAGGCGTCTTCTTTTGGCTGGCTGATGGTTCGATCTGTGTTCTTTTCTTCTTTTCACATCCCTCAATATGTTATCATGCCTATCACAATTTGCTGTGCAATTTTCACCCAAATCGTTCATGCGAGGCCTGGATTAGATAACACAGATACAATAGTGATGACCGAAGTTTCTTTTCAGATTCTACCATTCGAGATTGCGTTGCGTGTAGAGAAGAGTTGGGATGATATGGGCCCGACCATTGACAAGGACATGTTTTTGCTGGGATGTGCCTGCATCATACTGCTAAACGACCTCACTAACTCATTACACACATAGCATCGTCATCGCATGTGTCGCATTTTACAGCTCGTCCTTGACCTCCTTCTCAACTGCCACGTCCTCAACCTCAACCTCGACCTCGGGCGTTGCTTTGCGTCCGTACCACCCACCCAGATCCTCACCTGCACCAGCCTTGACCATGCTGGTGATAATCTCAAAAGCAACCTGAGCTGCTGCCAGAGCCGTGGTCTCGCCCTTGTTGTCGTAACTAGGCGACACCTCGACAATATCCGCACCAACGATGTTCAATTTCTCGATGCCACGCAGGATACGGATGAACTCTCGGGTCGTCCAGCCACCAGGTTCGGGAGTACCAGTACCCGGGGCGGTCGCCGGGTCCAGAACATCGATGTCAACAGACAAGTAAACGGGTTGTTCTGGATCTAGACCGATGCGCTCGACGATCCGATCCACGATACCCATGGGGCCCAGCTCATCAATATCATCTGCGTGAATTCGCATGAATCCCTGCTCAGGGCCAGGGTTGGTGTAATCACTATCGTCAACGCCCGTCAGTCGTGTGCGCAGTCCCGCATGTGCGGAGGTCGCATTGCAGATAAGGCCCTCACGGCTGGCCTTGTGGAAGAAGCTGCCGTGGTTGAAGTGCGACTGCTCCGAGAGCCAGTAGGCCGAGTACCGCACGGGGTTCCAGGTATCGAGATGTGCGTCGAAGTGAAGCACTGTGATAGGCTTCTGGTAGATCTGGTACAGGGCACGCAGGGCAGGAAGGGCAACGCTGTGATCGCCTCCCAGGGTGACGAGCTTCGACTTTCCGGCCGAAATCCCCTTTGTGCCGTACGTGGAGGAAGCGCGGGTCACGGCCGGCCGGGAACCCAGCTCCAGGAAGGCTTCGTACATTTGCCGCTCGGCCAACCCATTGTCGAACGGGGTAATGGGAATGTCGCCACAGTCCTTGACCGTTGCCCACGATTGGTAGGGGTTGATTCCCGCGCGGGTGTTGTAGCTGGTACCGGCCATCTGGCGGGCGCTGGCCGCACGGATGGAGCGGGGACCGAAACGGGCGCCTGTTGTTTTTGAGGGAGGCGTTTAGGCATATGGGCATTGGGAAGATAGGGCGATGTAGATGGCTGTTTGGAGCTTACCTGGTCTGTAGCTGACTGCTGTGTCGAAGGGGGCGCCGATGACGGCAATATCGTAACGCTCATCCGGTTCGACGAGACACTTGACAGGCTTCATGTGGGCGAAGCTGGCAATGCCGGAGAAGGTAAACTACACAAATCGTCGAAAATTAATCTAGTGTTGAGAAAGAAGAGAAGGAGAAGTATTGATGACTAGCCCACCTCCTGATCCCATTTCTTCAGCAATTCCTCGCGCAACCGCTCCGGGATCGTTTCGTCATTGTCGTGGTGAGTGTGGGAGAGAGCGGTGCCGGCCAAAGCCAGACAGGCTGCCCAGGTGGTAAGGGATTTCATCGCGCAATTGGAAATTGTGGAGAGTGATCCGTGAGAAATGGGTCGAAAGAAAGAAGCTTCGATGCAGCAGACTTTCGGCAGCGGTGTCTCTTATAGAAATTATAGAAATTTCGAGCACTGAGAAGAATTAATCTCCCCCTCGTTCTTCGATGACCTCTCGGTCCTGAATACGTACCGGGGAGAGGAAGTGGACGGGCTTATCGATAGGAGATGCGCTGCTGATTGGCTGTGTTGAGGAACCCGAGAGGTAAATTGACGGCCTTGTGGCCTGGTTTCTCTGACGTCGTGAGAACCTTCCCTTTCGGGTTGCTCTTCGGCATTTCCAAATTCAAGTTCCAGTTCTCAAAGATCATTCCATCGATTATTATTCAATTTATTCAATTGAATTTCTCATCCACTCCTGCTCCATTCTTGGCTCGGTCCTTACTACGAGTACAGTACCGGGCAGGTCTGGTGGCTCCAGATTTAGCTCCGAAATAACCTTCTACCGCGGACTTTGCTCGAATCTTTCTTATCTTACCCGAAACCCTTGTCGAAATCCAGTACATACATTGACGGGTAGACCGACAGACAGGTGGACAAACAAGCAGACATAACTCTTTTCCTTCAAGATTCCATGCGTCGAGTCGTTGTCACAGGCTTAGGAGCAGTCACACCTTTGGGGGTAGGTGAGTACATCTCGATTCGATTCAAAATTAAATCCGCCCGCGTCTTCTCCGCGGCGTCCCTTCAAACGGTCTCCACTTCTGGCATGCCCAAAAGGGAAGGTCAAGTACAACTCCAACAACTTCAATTACTTGCCCAGGAGGGTAGTTGCACACGAAAGCGGGACCCAAGCCTTCCCTGTAGCTTTTTATTTTTTCTTAGTTAGCTAAGCTGAGACGCAGGCATCCGTCGAACATGGAAACGCCTGTTAGACGGTCATTGTGGCATCGTCAATGTCGTGCATCGCGATGCTAGGTTCAAGGACGTGCCCTGTCAGGTTGCTGCCGTTGTGCCGCAAGGTGCTCGAGGCGAAGGCGGATGGACGGCTTCGGATTGGTTAAGCAGAGACGTGAGTATTGCCCTGGCTATTGGGTAGCCCCCAACTGATTGTCCGTGGCAGGATGAGCGCAAGATGGCTCGATTTGTGCAGTACGCAATGGCTGCTTCGGAAGAGGCTTTAGAAGATGCCGGCTGGATGCCAACGACTTTTGAACAGAAGGAAGCAACGGTACATATATACCCGAAGTGAAGCCTTCCACTGGTGCTCTTTTTTTTTTTTACTAAAGGTATTATGTCTAGGGGGTATGTCTCGGATCGGGTATTGGTAATTTTGATGAGATTTATGACACGGTTGTGGCGTATGCAAAGGGTGTAAGTGTCCTTGTTGAGCATCAAGGATAAACGTCAGCTGAAACTGTGCCAGGGTTATCGCAAAGTGTCGCCTCTGTTTGTACCCAAGTTGTTGATCAACCTCGGTGCTGGTCACATTTCTATGAGATATGGGCTCATGGTAGGCAGACAAAACCTCCCTCCAATATCCTATCACGACTAACTTTACATTTAGGGGCCGAACCACGCAGCGACTACAGCATGCACCACAGGCGCACACTCAATCGGCGATGCAGCCCGCTTCATTGCGTGCGGTGATGCTGATGTGATGCTAGCCGGCGGCGCGGAGTCTTGTATCCATCCTTTGGCGGTTGGCGGTTTCGCTAGGGCCCGCAGTCTGGCTACCAGCTACAATGACAACCCGCAGAAGGCTTCTCGGCCATTCGATGCGGATCGAGAGGGCTTTGTAGTAGGAGAAGGGGCTGCAGTGATGGTCCTAGAGGTAAAGCCTTCTTGGGATCACGTTGTCTTTACGTCACGTTCTAACCCTGGTGCCAGGAGCTCGAGCATGCGAAAAAGCGAGGAGCTCGGATTTATGCGGAGCTAAAGGGATACGGCTGCTCCGGGGACGCGCACCATATGACTGCGCCCAAGGAGAATGGTGAAGGCGCATTTTTGGCCATGAAAAAAGCGCTCAAGAACGCCGGGCTTTCGCCCTCCGCTGTCGACTACATCAATGCTCACGCTACTTCAACAGTTGTGGGCGATGCGGCGGAGAACAGTGCCATCAAAGCTCTGCTTCTCGGCCCAGGTGGAAAGCAGAAAGCTGTAGAGGTCAACATCAGCAGCACCAAGGGTGCTGTTGGCCACCTGCTTGGTGGTGCTGGCGCCATTGAGGCTGCCTTTGTCGTTCTCGCAGTCAATGAGGTAGGCGTGTTCTTCTCGCACTCGAACAAGCTCTGTCATGGAAATACTAACAGTGCGATTCAGAACATCATGCCTCCAACAATTAACCTGGAGCGGCTAGCAGATGGATTCGATTGCAATTATGCCCCGGGCGAGGCGCAAGAGCGCCGTATTGACGTGGCTTTGACAAACAGCTTTGGATTTGGAGGGACCAACAGCAGTTTGTGTTTCTCGAAGCTCAACAACTAGGTGAGGTGTCTCATCCTATTGTTGTGTGGTCTTTTTGCATAGATGCTGCACTGTATCAACAGCATGTACTTTAGCGTGGACATGTCATACTTCGTCAGCGGCAGAGTCCGCCTCTCATCAAGATATGATGCCGAGGTACCTGGCACAGTCAGGTTATGAAAATGTATTTTATGTGATTACTTGATTCTAAGTCATCTGAATTGTTTAGATGGCATAGTGGTTTGTGTTACATAATGCCCTTGATATATGCCTGGTGTTTGGGACTGGTCGACAATTCAGCTCTTTCTTCTCAATGAATCTAGAGTCAATTTCAATAAGCTTCAAACACGTAACACTTATTCTCCAAGCCTGGATCTATTGTACACCTCGCGATTCCATCAAGTCAAAGAAGCAGGGATTCCTTCACCAGTCCGCGCACGTGACCCAACCCCATGCGGGAAACCCCCCTCTCTCTCCCCGGCCCCGGACGTAGCCTCGATCATCGCATCGCAAGCACTACAGCTGCTGCTGTTTCAACGCTACGCCGTGCTGGGTTGTCGCAATACGCCCCCTCATTCCGACCAATCGATTAGCTCTCGCACCGAACTTCTCTCCTTAGACACGATATAAGTTACCGTCTCATCTCCTCAAAACCCACCCTTTCGGTCTTTACATGAATGACAACGTCCCGCCCCGTCATCACCCTCTCTCTACGCTTCGAAACCCACACAATACAATCAGTCGTCCAATCTTGGAAGGAAGGCCACGGTAGTAGGGAACGAAATCACCAGCCGTGGTCGTACTTGCGGGTTTTATATCACATTACTTATTGAATCAGCCCTTTCTCGGGGGCTCGTTTGCTCGAGTTTACAAACCATGGCTACTTCTAATAACGGTGTGTACATCTTGCTTTGCTGTCCTCTCTCGTCGCTTTGTTTCTGTGTGTGTGTATGTGCGTGTGCGAGGTCATAATGGAGGAAGAGAGAGGGCAAGAAGAAACAATACCTCGGGACGGAAAAGCTATTGAAGGCGGAATCTCACTCGAGAGAAGAAGAATATTGGGCTAATCTATCGTGACCCACCATTGCACTGTGCGCTGCAGCCCCTTCTGTCGCATCATCATCATCATCATCATCATCATCATCATCAACAACAACAACTGCTGGCAGTTTTGTTGATGCGTCCGGATATAAATTCTCCGAGAAGGATGTGAAACCCGGGAAGATCAAGTTGAAGAAGTCGGCGAAGCTGGGAGGTAGGAAGAAGGCTGATGGTATGTTTCTTTTTCCCTTTCTTTCTTTCTCGGTTCCTGTGTTCTTGTTTCTGTCTGGGGAAAGGGTGCGCTGCTCTGGGTTCCTGAGGCGGAGGGGAGGGTGGAGATATCATTTCGAGGCAGAAGATGACGTTGGGTTTCCTATTGGAACTACTAGAAGAGAGGATGCTAAAGAAAAACCTCTTTCATGCGATGACAGAACCCCCCGCCTCCCCCGGCTCATCCCCGATTCTTCCGGAGATCGACGAAAAGACTATGGCCGCCTTCCCGACGGGCAAGCCGCGAGAAGAAGATCATCTGGAGACGGTCATCTGTAAGACCTGCAAGAGGCCGGTCCTCAAGCAGAATGCTGTGGAACACATCCGCGGCTGTATTCGAGCGAAGCAGGAGAAGGCGCGCCAGCGGAAGGAGGCGCGCGATGCGGCGAATCGGGCCAAGGCCGGTGATAAGGATGATACCGAGGAGGTGGGCGTGGGCGGCGCCGGCGGTGCGGGAGGAGGACCCGGCGGGGAGAAAGGGGAAGCAGGAGAGGATTCGTCGATGAAGGGCCAGAAGGGCGCGAAGAAGAGCGCCGCCAAGGGGATGGCGGCGGAGATCGGGGCGAAGAAGGGCACGAAGCGGAAGACGGAGGCCGGGGATGGCGACGACAAGGATAGCAAGGAGCCCAAGACGAAGAAGAAAAAGAAGGAGGAGCCCAAACCGAAGACCGCCAAACCGAAGGGCCCCGTGGATGTCGAGAAACAGTGCGGTGTTACTCTGCCGAATGGGGCCCAGTGTGCGCGCTCTTTGACTTGTAAGAGCCATTCGATGGGTGCGAAGCGAGCGGTCCCTGGACGTTCGTTACCATACGACATGTTGCTGCAGGCGTATCAGAAGAAAAACCAGGCGAGGCAGCAGAGTAAGTTTCTCTTTCTTCTTGAGTCAGAATGAGTGAAAACAGTGGGGCTGATGCACTTTTGACAGAGGCTGCTATCGACGCCAACGCGCCGCTGCAGGACGAGCAAGATAATAACGGTCCGGTTGACTCGGATGAAGAGAAGGATGCCGTGATGGCGGCGATCACGCGCTCACATCCACAGCCTCTTGTCAGTCACACCTTGATCTCGACCAAGAAGAAGTACCAGTATGTGCGCATCAAGGAGATGCTGTCGCATGCTCTGGGCGGCTCGCGCGGCGGTGGCCTCTTCTCGACCGGCGACAACACCTCATCTACGCCTTCTCTGTTCTCCGAAGGGAATCTTTTCACCCCCGTGGACGAAGTCGACATGGCTTTACCGGTCTCTGCAACTGTGCCGGATAATGCGATAGATGCTGATACGAAAACTCCGGCCGCACCTGCGCCCAAGAAACTTTCCGTGGCGGCAAGCTCGTGAGGTCGTGGTCCAGGCAGGTGCGCGGGCGAATGGTTTATGAATTCAGTACTTTTTCCATGTGGGATGGGTTCTTCATGTTGCTGCCCAGTGGTATTTAAGGGGTTACAAAACGGCGATGGGTCAGCGGTTGGAGGCATGGACGGGTTGGGTGACGGCGTTTTAAGGATGGTTCAACTTTGCTGCGCTCTTTTGACTTCTGTGATGATATGATACCCCGTGTTGAGTGTGTTTGGATGCATGCATTGTTGCTTTACTTGGTGTACAGTTGTGTTCAAAATGAGTTGCCGTGTGATTTGATAGAGATTCTAATGCAACTTCACATCAGATATTGTTCAGTCAGTAATGCTTCTTGACCTTGCCAATATTACGAAAGTTTCTTTAATAAGTTGTGCCTGATAATTACCTGAAGGCTACTAAGAAATCTATACTGGTGGCACGTTAGACTGCCTCAGGCCACAACCGCGACCTCCGCCGAACGGCGACAAAAGCCCGCCCACCCACCCAATTGAGCTGAATGCGCCTGCCCTTTCTTTCACCTCACACTCCTTTCTTTTAACACCGCGCAAAGCTCCGCGCGGCTTTGCAGGCGAGGCCTCGGTCCGACCTCAATTTTTATACAACTCTCAACCTACTTTCAACTCTCTACAGACAGTCCAAAAGAACCCCATCGCCCGCCCACCTCAACTCCGATCCGTCCATTGTCGAGTCCACCTCACCCGATTGAATCCCGATCCCGCCTCGCCCTTATTACCTACCTACCTACCTACCTACCTACGCACCCACCACCCCGCACTCCTCTTCGTCCAGCTGCAAGATGGGAAACTCCGTTCCCGACCTCGACGCGGTCGGCGTGAAAGCCGAACCGGAGCTGGCCGACATGCTCCGGCGCGAGGTCGCCAGTCTTCTGGGGCGCAACAACCTGAACTTTCCCGGAGCGCAGCCGGTCAGCTTCGCGACGCGACATCTCACCGAACTCCAGCGGGAGGACTACTACGTCTGCGAGAAGACGGATGGCATCCGGTGCCTGATGTACTTTGCGCACGGGGAACCGGATTCGGACACGCCGGAGGTGCACTACCTGATCGACCGCAAGAACGACTACCGGTGGGTGCCGGGGCTGCACTTCCCGCTCCCCGGCGATGACACCTTCCGACAGTTCCACGTGAATACGATCGTGGACGGCGAGCTCGTGAACGACACCTACGAGGACGGGACGCAGCAGCTGAAATTCCTGGTGTTCGACTGCCTGGTGCTGGACGGGCAGCCGCTGATGCACCGCACGCTCGACAAGCGGCTGGCCTATTTCAAGGAGAAGGTGCTGCGGCCGTACAACGCCATGTACCGCAAGTTCCCCGAGGAGATCCCGCACCGCACGTTCACGGTGGAGGACAAGTCGACGCAGTTCAGCTACGGGATCGAGATGATGTTCCGCGAGATCATCCCCAAGGTCAAGAAGATCCACGGCAACGACGGGCTGATCTTCACGTGTCGGAGCACCCCGTACAAGATCGGCACCGACGAGCACATCCTGAAGTGGAAGCCGCCGGCGGAGAACACCATCGATTTCCGCATGAGGCTGGAGTTCCCGCTGCTCGAGCCGGACACCGACGACGAGGCCGAGGGGGTCACGGAACCGTACGCGGACTACGACACGATGCCGATCTTCCATCTATTCGTGCTGCTGCGCACGAACGAGTACCAGTCCTTCGGGGAGATGTTCGTCACGCCGGACGAGTGGGAAGCGATGAAGGCCCTGGGTCAGCCGCTGGATGACACGATCGTCGAATGCGCCCAGGATGACCAGGGCCGGTGGCGGTTCCATCGGCTGCGGGATGATAAGTCGGACGCGAATCACATCTCGACGGTGCATAAGGTTCTGGAGAGTATCCAGGATCGGGTCACGGAGGAGGACCTCATCCGCATGGCTCCTGCAATCAAGACGGCGTGGAAAAAGCGTCAGGCGTTGCAGGAGGAGGAAGCTCGGAAACGACACCGACAAGCTCCTGGGGGCGGTGGGCCCCCGAACGGCCAGAACGGGGTCAAGAGGAAGTTCGAGGAATAATTGTCTTTCTGTTTTGTGTTCTTTTTCATCTATTAGTCTGACTCTGCGGGTCGATGAGCTCCTTACTACTCATGACCTTAGCAGGGCAGGTTGGCTGGCCGGTTGATTTTGGTTTGCGAGGCGTTAGGTGCTGGTGGGTGGTGTGTGTATGTGTGTATGTGTTGAATGCGTGCTGGTCAATTCCTCCGGGTTCCATTTCTCTCAGGCCCGAATGCATTCTTACCGACTTATGTTTGTGTTTCTTCTTTTATTTCCATTTCAGTCATCTGTGTATACAAGAACAGCAACCGGCCTCAATGTCGCATGTTGCACCAAGGGATAAAGCGAATGGATGGAAAAATTGTATAGACTCACCCCCATATCCCCTCCCTCCCGTGGGCGGCCAGGGTATAGAGTAATGGAATGAGATACATTTACAAAGGAAAGGGTTAAACAGCCCATAAAACGAAAATAGAAAGAAAGAAAGAAAGCCGCGCGTATTGTTTCATTCCACAATCGAAACCAATTTCATGCTATGCGTCTTGCTTTCCACCCACCGATTGTCTTTTCCCAGTCGCCACGCTACTCGCTGGATCTTGACCGGAAATCCTTTCCTTGAGAAAGAATTGGGGGGTGGGGGGGGACTGGTTGGTAGTTAATTCTTGAACCCCTCTGACGATCCTGGTTTGAAATGTCTTTCCTGTGGAATAGACATGTACTGCATAGTATGTTTATGTGCAGTTATACTGTTGTAGGTCGTTCCTCGTATGAATCTGTTATGAGGTGCGCGTTCTGGCCGGGTTACCTATTCCGGTAATCGAGTGTGTAGGATCTGATCTAGAACCATCCCTTTCTTTCAGGCTCACCCCTCCCCCCCGTCCTGCCCCGTGCAGGGTCTGTTTTTTATTTGATTTCGTTTTTTTTTGTTTGGTTGGTGGATGGGAGGCTATCTGGGGAGAGGATGGGGGATGGGATGGGGCATGGGGCATGGGGATACGACACGGTGCTACGGAGCTAGGTAGGGAAAATCCACTACGGAAGTAGGTCCTATCTCCCTCTTTTCTCCTTGCTACATTGGATGTATGCTGCGTTATGACATCAGTGGATATGGGACATGCATGCACATGTAGATGTAGATGTACAGTACAGCACGCATTATTCTGGATGGTGGAAGCTGGAGGTGTTGGTGGTGGTGGTGGTTGCGTATGGATGGATGGATGATTATGATAGTTGATGAGTGACATCAACAGGACTAACGTTAGTCGAAGGATGGCGTCTTCTTCAAAGTCGACGAATTTGGTTTTCTTTTTTTTTTTCTTGTTGGGGACTTGCTGTCGGAGGCAGGACGATGAAGGCCAAAAAAAAAGAGGGTTTGACTAGAGCATGTGGTGCTGCTGCTGCTGCTGAAGCTGTCGATCATGACTGCATGGGATATGATCTGCTTCGCTTGTTTTGTTTTTCGTTTTCGTCTTTTTGTGTACAGCTTTCTCCAGAATGATGGGGGAGGGATGGAATGTGGGGGATGGGGGGATGGGGGGATGGGGGGACTCGGGGAGGGAAAGGCAGGTAGACCTGGTTCATCTTGCTTGGTTTGGAGAGCTGTCTGTCTCTATGTTTGATTCTACAGGGTGCAGTGCACTACAGTACATGGTGGCATTTCAGGGATTCCGGAATGATCATGGATATAGTAGTCCTGGACTATCCTAGACTACTGGAAAGGGACAATGCAGTTGCAGTCATTTTCTGGGGTATGTATACCGAGTGCACAGTATACTCAGTACTACCTACCATACGGGGGAAAGTGGAGAGGGAGGGAGGGAGAAGGATCAGCTTTGGTGGCGTGAGAGGAGAAAATAGAAATAGAAATCAGATACCTCTCATACCCAGTAAGATGAAACCGGGGGGTGTTGCCACTCATTGAATACTGTTTGTTGACTTCACAGATTCCCGGTGGAGTTCTCTTTGTTGCTGAGTATCTTTCTAGAAGGATGGGGTCGTCGTATGCATCATGCACATACTGTACACATACTCCGTGAGTGGACTCGTAAGTCAACATTGTCGACTATGCTTCAATTCCAGGGTTCCTTTCATCCATCTGGCATCCATCATACCCTGAGGTAACTAGTAGCGACTAGTTACGATATAGTTAGTTACTGTCCTGTCCGTCCCCTTGTTTCGCTTTCCCCACAAAATGCACACGTACGTTTCTCCATCCGCCCTGGCTGAATCCTTACCCCAGCGGGTTTTTCTCCATCCCTTGACGACCCGGTTTGTGTTCTTTAATTGTTCACTCCGATTTATCTCTCTCTTGCTCAAGTTGCTCAAGTTGCTCAAGTTACTCGTCTCCTCCCCCGGAAGAAGCCCAGCTCTTCCCCGGAAGTTCTCCCGCCCTGTCCTGTCTTGCCGTTCCGTCGTCGTGGCAAGCATGCAGCCTTCAACCCACCCTTTGGACCGAGTCGCTGGGTGAGGCGTCCCCAGCCCTGAACCTAGTTGGGATTCTCGATTCGAGGTCCAGGAGAAATAAATAGTACAAAGGATCGAGCATGGGGATTATCCACTGTCCGTGTAGAGTCCACTAATCATTCGCATTGGAATTCCATCTGTCGTTTTCAAAACACTCGGGCGACTTACTTCCCATCCCCAACAGATTCACCCCTGCAACTAACTTACTACTACTACTACTACTACTACTACTACTACTACTACTACTTCTACCACTACTCCTTCTTCAACGAGTGGTTGTGCTTCCTTGTATACAGTTGACTGTACAGTGTACTGTACACTGCTGGCGTCGAGTGGCTTGTTCGCCCTGCATTCTGTCGCCCTCCTAATCCTTCTTTCATTTGCTCATTGTTCTCGGTCAATGGGGATTTAAAAAAGCATCTCCCCCTGCCCTTTCAACCCACCCAGTACTGTACCTTCCGCTAAACCAGACACTGCTCGGAACACTACAGTACTTATTACAACAGCTACTCCTATTACTGTTACCATCTCTGATTCACTTAACTGAGGTAAGCAATTCATTTACTTTCCATTGACATGACTGCGCCCCAGGAATCCTTTCTGCCTCGGCGAATTTCGGAGCTCCAGCATGTACTGTATACCCCCGGAGCTTCCCTCTCGGCCCTACGGGTCCTCGTCTGCCGAATAGTCACGACGAGTTGCCATGTGCCCGCCTACCATCTGATATTACTTATATCTACCTTGACCCACGCCTTTGTAGATGTACTTCTTGCTAATTCCTCAACTGCAGTGCTATTAAGTCTAGCAACAACTTATAGCGAACCTTCCTCCATCCAGAACAAACCCCAAGAAACAACCACCTCCGAACCCTGAACTACATACACCCGGAACTACAACCCCGTTCAACCATAGCAACAACACCACCACCACCACCACCACCACAGAAAAGCATAACACAAGGCACACAATGGCGAACACGTCCCCGCAACGTCATCGTCCTACCCTCATCACTCCCGCCTGTTCCTCCACATTCCCTCAGGACATCTCCGCCGCCATCCTCTCCGCCGCCAACCACATCCCCAAGTCCATCGCCGTCGAGTCCGCAGCCCGGACGGCGAGCGCTACCGGCGCAGCAACCCCAACAACGAGTACAGGGCTCCTAGAGGTGCCCATGCCTCCTCCTCCCCCCCCTCCGTCGCCGGTCGAGACGAGAGCGCTATGGGGCCGGTGAATCCCAGACCTTTTCTGTTTTTACAAAAACTCAGACAGTAGCGGGCAATGGCTCTGTCCTCCCTCTCGCCCTATTGCAAGAACTCGGTTCAAGCTTGGTTCTGAATCTCCAACGTGGACCCGGCTACAATATCTATGGGCCGGGGGCAGGTGCATTCCAAACCGTGCAGGCTTCCTGGGTGCCTTTTTTTTTCACTTTTTGGTTAACATAGGGTGTTGCGCTGTTGGACTATTCGGTTGTTTTTCTGGTGTCGGTGGGTCAAAACTTCCTTGCGCTTTTCATCGCTTTTCGGGGGTGATGTCTTCTCCTGGTCGTGGGATTGTTTCTTTTCATCTTTAGTATGGAGTGGGGCGGGGATTGCTTTTCTACTTTTGAAATCTGGTTTGTTCTGTTGTCTTATCTTCCATTGGGATGGAGATGGTGTGTATATTATGGGGTTGGGGTTGGGGGAGGAGATAGCTTTAAATGGTAATCATGTCAATGGAATGAGATCGATTGACCAAAAAGCGTTTGGTGCAGCGGACTTGAGTCAGAGTGTTTTGGCTTTCTTTCTTTTTTTTGCTACGGTGCACGACTGCTCGGGTCTGTTGACCTTTGGGGAAATAGATCAGTGCCTGACTTATCTACTCAATATGCTATAGTATTGTTGTGAGGGGGGCGAGAGACAGGAAATAGTCTTGGATATTCGGTCATACTGTATGGGATGAGATCACACTTCGTCATTTGTTAGGGCGAATAAATCATTTAAGTTCTAATCTATCTATCCCCTTCAAAGCAAACGTGCATTCCATCCAATCATGAGGGTCAACCCTGATGGTGAACGCGTTGCAGATCTCCGGACTTCCCGTCACATGCAGAGTGGGAGACATAATACGGCTATGAGTACCTGCAGCCCGAGACCCGATGACGCCATGGTTCATCATTGTCGACATGGCAGAAGACCGACCTCGGTACAGTACATCTGTAGACGGTATCGTGATGGTAGCGCCGGGGCCTAGCCTCTACGCGATTGCGGTAGTTCTTCGTATGCTGCAGGGCGCTAACTACCTTAGCTATAACTTAGTAGGGTAGCGTGCATGCAAAACCAAGGGACCCATCCCGGATTCCGATTCGGTTGCCGCCGACTCTCTTACTCATACGCTTTTCTGTTCGGCGTTCAGGATCAGTGCTGGCGAGCGTCGGCAGGGCCGAGTGAGCCCGCCGGGCAGTGCGGTGGAAATAGTACTCGTGACTATTAAAGCTTGTTTCCCCTTTGGAAGATGGACCTCGGCTTGGAGCCTCTGATCATGGTCCTCTCACGTGACCATGTCGAGGAGGATTAACCGTCCTGAACAGAGGATGTTGTGCAGTCAAACGAAGAGCATGGATCAAGGCTGCGGCTGCTGAGGTTCTCGACGAGCCTGCGAGAGTAACTCTTCCGGGTCAAGGTACTGGTCGTGATTTAGATCCCGCGTGGGATCCTCCCCGGCAACCTCCGGCTCTCCCGCCACGCCTCCCATCTCGATATCATTATCATCACCATTATCGTCATTATCGCCATCACCGTCATCGTCATTGTCATCGTCATCGTCATCGCTCCCCACCTCCCTCTCGACATCCTCACCAAGCCGGGTGTACAGCGCCTCCAGCTCGGCCATCGCAGCCGCATCACCCTGCAACGCCAGCTCATTCAAGCGCTGGATTTCCGCCAGCTGTTCGTCGGTGCGCGCCCAGCCGAGCGCCCGCCCGCCCATCGACGATGCATGGTCAGACTGGATCCGTTTGGTGCTGAAGACGGTGCGCACCGTGTCGGTCTCTCCCTTGCTTCGCTTCAGACTAGCCAGACGTTCGAGGAACCGCATTTGGTTGCTTGCGGGGTGGTTGGGGGCACGGATAATTCCGGTTGTTGATACGGGGGGCGTGAGGCCAGAAGGGGGGTAGTCAGACTGCCCAGGGTTAGGGTTTACCCCTTCGTCTGATCCCGGTGCTGCTGCTGCTGCTGCCACCGCCGAGGATTGGCTAGCGGAGATGAGATTGGCTTTGCGGCCTATAATCTTAATGCTCGGGGCGGCGAGGAGGTCGTAGGTGTGTCCGTGACGGAGAGGAGTGTCGGGTTGCTCTGTGCGGTGGCTACCATACGGGTCGTACGGTGCAGTCTCCCCTGGTTGTTCCTCCGCTCCTCCTCTCCCTCCTTCGTCTGGACGAGCAAAGATCAGGTCGGTGCCGAGTTGATCGGCCCAGGTGCCGCTGAAGATTTGGTTCTGGTATGAAATTATGGGGTTAGGGGTGTGAAGCCCAAGGATTTGTAGGCCATCGGATGGGGACTCCACATGGGTGAACTCAGCGGCATCGGGTTCGTCGGAGATGTTGGTGGCTGTTGCTGATGCTGATGAGGCGGCAGTCGCGGAAGGTTGTCGACGGCGAGGAGGTCGAAGTGGGCCGTGGAGAGACGTGAGGTCAAGGGTGAGATAGACGGTCTAGGTGGTGGATAGGTGTTAGAAGCAGAATGAAAGTGAAAGAAAAAGGATTCGAAGAAAAGAGGGTGGAAAAAAACAAGGCAGGGAGGGATGCCAAGGCAGACCTCAGTTTCGGTGGGATGATATTCATATTCATAGTCCGAGTCGATGTCGGAATCGAGATGGGGCTGGTCCACTAACATGGCCGGATCGACCGGGATAGGCGGAGGAAGCGACATGGTGTGGTTGGTTTATAGTATGGACAGTCTGTTCCCTGGAAGAACCGTGAGTTGATGAGAGTAGTATAAGGTATCTATCAACCATCAACCATCAACACATGAATAAGTTTAGAACCGGCATATCAAGGCGGTGAGTCCGGAATCGACCAATCTATAGGTCCCGAGTCATCGCGGGCGGCTGCCCGATTGGGGTAAAGATCAATGTGTTAGTTAGTTAGTAGACAGACTGTGTAGTCATCATCGGCTCTTCTTCTCGGTCTGCTTATCAGTTTCACCAAGTAAACTCATTCATGAGCATCTTTCATCGCAGCTTTCATCGCATGATCCAGCTGATCATCTACTCCAGAATCAACTCTCAGTGACTGACTTTCTTAAGTCTAGTTAACTGGTTTCAGCCTTGACTAATCGAATTGACAAATGACTGCTGCATTGCATCATTCATTCATTCCCTTGGCTCTGCTTTGGGCCTTAGGCTTGTTTTTGCTGTCTCTCTTGCTCTCGCTCTCGCTCTCGCTCTCTGACTTATCGCTCCATCATCCCCACTCCATCTTGAGCAGGAGAGTTAAGTAAGTAGCTCGACTGGTATCATTGTTGATCATCATGGCTTTTCATCATCATCATCATCATCATCATCATCATCATCACCACCACCATCGTCGTCATCACGACAGCAGTAGTGGCAGTAAGTGAATCCCGTTCCGTTCATGTGTCTAGAATGTTATTTCTTCTCTCCATTCATTGTCACCGGCTCACCGCGGAACGGGCTGGCATTCCTTCTCTCCACCTGCATCCGTCCGTCTCCCCCTCCTCCTCCTTTATGATCTAATCATTTGTCCCTCTTTCCCATCTTTCCATTCGTCCCGAGTCACCCGATGCCCTGTTGTTCTCAGCCCTAAACCAAACCCATAAACCCATATATGGCGATCCTCTTCATATCCGGATGTCCCCGGATGCGCCGCCCTGGCTCTGCCCTACCCGGCAAGCTCCATGAACCAACGAAGAGCCCTGACTCCATTCCTCAATTTCTGTTCTCGAAACCTACGGACCTGGTCCGGCTGACGGATCATGGCCGCGTTTCTCTCGGCTTCTTATAGTGTCTCCTCTGCTGCCCTGGCGCCCAGCTCTGGGTCTGGTTACTCGGTCTGATTACTCTTTTTCTTCTTCCTCCATCCTTCTCTGCTTAATATTATTGCTCTCCTCCTCATCGCTGCTCTGTGCCTCCTCCCCTCTCAGGACTCATGATCTTTCGTCCCCTGTCAACCCTCTCGATGCGTTCGCATTGATCGCTGAGCCCGATCCATCCTCGACCACGTCTGCTACTTTCCCGAACGGGCAATTGGTCACGCACCCTTTGTCGTCCACAGCCCACCGTGATCTCGAAGATCAAGTTCGCGATCCAGACAAGGTCAGGTCGGTAGCCTTATCGACCCAATCGCCTTCGCAACTCGCCGATCCAGCCGTTTCTGCGAGTGTCGGTCAACAGATGGTGCGCGCAACGACCGCAGCGATTTTCACTCTATCCTCATTGATTGCCTATGTCGTGATCAACAGTGTCGCTCGCGCTGTTAATCCGTCGGCCTTCATTTGGTACGAGGAGGATCAGGACGAACGTCGCTGGATTTCGTCATCTCCATCCTGGCTAGACCGGAAGGCTTGCCGCTGGTTCGGCCTATGTGGGACCGCCCACTTTCGCTTGGTGCGCCCCCGCTTCGGCCACCGCAAGGCAGTCGCGGCGGCTGGCCAAGGGTCCAACGAAGACTTCTCCGCCTGGCGTGCCGCCCAATTCAATGACTCCGCCCATCCCGAGGCCGCTTGGGATGAGGCGGAACGCTCCCGCCGCGAAATCCCGGACTATGTCTTCCAGTTTGCGCCGCTGGTCCATTTGTTCTCCGATGAGCAATTCTGGCCTTGCGACATCGCCGAACACCTGTATCATATTACACCTATGCTCAATTACACCCCCGTCCAATCGTATTGGGATCATCCCACTTTAAATGACCTGGATCAATTGAACCAGTGGCAGGATGGGCACAATGTGTTTCTCACCAGCAACGACAATGTCGAGCATCGACCTTCGTGGATGGAAGGCGACAAGAATATCCCTGACGATCCTGATAGTGATCTGGAAAAGTCTTGGCCTGACTGGGATGCGCGGGTCGATGGGCCCATCCCGAATGACACACCTGGTGACCGAGCGCAGTGGTACGATTCAGCCCATGCCCTCCGCGAAGGAGATGACTTGGATGGCGGCGACAACGATGCTGAGTGGTCGCCTGAGAAACTCGGCTATTTGCGCCCAGAGGATCTACAACAAGATGAAGGTTTGCGGGACGAGTTGCGCAAACGTTTTGGTGGGGAGCCCATCCATGTTGAGACTACGGGCGGGCGCAGCAATGCGCCAGCCATCCTATTGGTGATGGACAAAGGCAACGGCATTGTGGATGCCTTCTGGTTCTTCTTCTACAGCTTCAACCTTGGCAACGTGGTGTTGAACGTACGATTCGGCAACCATGTTGGGGACTGGGAACACTGTCTTGTGCGCTTTCATAATGGCCGGCCCAAGGCCCTCTTTTTCAGTGCCCACTCAGCGGGAGAAGCATACAGCTACGAAGCTGTCGAGAAAATTGGCCAACGGGTAAGTCATAATCAATTCCCATATCTTCATCCAGCCCCGGATCGTTAGTCCCCCCCACTGACCGTGAACCAGCCGGTCATATATTCCGCACTTGGCACCCATGCTATGTATGCTACTCCTGGCGTGCACGCCTACATCTTGCCTTGGGGCTTGCTGCACGACCAGACCAATCGCGGTCCATTGTGGGACCCGCTCTTGAACGTGCACACATACACGTATGACTTCCCCAGCGACATGCTCCGGGCATCGACTGTGAGCCCCTCGGCGCCTATTGAGTGGTTCTACTTCAATGGGCACTGGGGCGACAAGTTCTACCCGTTGGGCGATGAACGCCAGTACCGTTTTGCGGGTCAGTATCATTACGTGAACGGGCCTCTGGGCCCGCGCTTCAAGCACCTGAATCGGCGCAAGGTCTGTCAGCAATCTGACGACAGTCCTTGCGTGATTAAGAATTACATTGGTGAACAGGCTCGCCCTCGCCGCTGGGCAAGTGCGGGTGTCGAAAACCCGGCTGAGCATCCGCGTAATTAGAGGCTGGTGTCGGATGTCTATTTCTACTGTTCGCTCTCATGATTATTTCTGCTACTGCCATTTTGGTGGGATTATATACCCCTGCATGTTTTTTTCTGCATGATTGCATTGATGACTGGCGTTCTGTTCGAGTCTGGGCTGGAAACCAACGAACCACGAGGCGATGATAGACACGAAAATCACGGAGTCCGTACCACTAACCATTTACCTACATGATTTATATCGTTGTGTTTGTCCTAGCCGGGGATCATGAGTAGTGGAGTCACGGCATGGTCGTTGTTATTATGTTTGATGTGTATTTCGGTCATTTGGTACATATTGGTGCGGCTGGATGGCTGTGGTGCTGAATAGAGTTATTCTGCAAATACATCTCCCAATCAAGAGCATCATGCTAAACAGGTCAAACAGGTTCAAGTTGATGCATGCGTTGGGGATTGAGCCTTCGAACCCTAACAATCAGCACCTCTGCCAAGTTTGGCAGTTGTTCTGTTACTCTGCTGCTTCGGGACGACCAGTTGGCCAGTCCCCATAAGCTCACAGATTTTCGATTTCATTTTCGATAATTCCAACTACCCAGGCTAAAAGCCACCGCTCCAATGATCAAGCTCCCTAAGTACGGAGCAGGAGGAGAGCGGGGGGCCGGGTGGAGGGGGATTCAGGAGCCTTTCCTTGGCCCACTGGAGAACTATAGAGCAGCGCGCACACCCCCGCGGCGTACTAGTATCAAGAACACCATACATTAGATTATTCAAGGTTAAGTCCAAGAATGGACTCATGGGGCTTTTGGAACTGGAACTTGACTTGGTGGACTGTGCTAGCCCCGAAACTACCTACCTACCTACCTACCTACCCACCTACCCAACCCGATCATAAACCAATGGACTGTGCCCAATATGTCTGTCGCGACTCTCGTTTGTTTGACGAGCGATCTTTTGTCTCTCCAATGCTTCCATGGGGGAAGGGGGGGTAAGAGGAACTGTGAGGTTCGCGGGGGCTGCTCTAGCACACCACGTCAGCTGAATACTCTTTCAGTCCCTTGCATCCGTAGCTTTTCTGAACTGCATAAGATGGGGCAGGCGTTTGAAAGGCGCCTTACGCTCACAGGAAGTTATGTTGGTGTGTTGCACGCGGCGATCATAGCTGAGCTGGAGAGGCTGAACGGTTACCGAATCGGGAAGGAGGTATCTAGACTTGACGGTCCACGTCCGTTATCATTCGGGGATCAGGGATCAATGTGTTGTTGTGTATATACCACCAGGGCCTGGCTCCCCTCGCAGAGTTAGCCTTACATCCCGGCCGTGGAAAATGGCGGGTTTTCGCTCTTTGAAAGAGAGGGTATCGGAGAGAACACCCTAGTGGAGATTGTGAGGGAGGGTTGTGGCGAAGGAGGCACACCGAATTCTAGTCCCGTGAGCTACTGCGTGCTATGTCTAAATGGAATTTAGCAGGTCACAATGGAAATTCTTGTTATGGAAGATTACTCGCTACGATCATATAAGGTGGAGAGATTGCAAAGCAAGCTAAGTATGGGCAGGCAGGCAGGCGGGGGTAGTACCATGAAGCAGAGGAAAAAATGAAATAAGATCAACTCATTGCAGGCCACTTCAAGGTGACGAAAAGACGGAAGGGAAAGATCAGCAACCACCCAGGTTTCGTCCAGCAACACGAAGGGAATAGGTTCTAGGGGATCCCCGAATTAAGATGAAGAGTACAAACAGCGCTGGGATCAAATGAGTAGCAGCAGGTAAAGCAGCAGGTCGCCTCATGTTCCGAGGACGATCCTCCCCATACGGGAATGAGATTTGAACGTTGACCATGGGCCAGGAAATAAAGAGAGAAGCCAGAAGGAACGACTGGACCAGAAAGAACATCATCTAGACAGGCGACTGGCCGTATCAGAACAGCCCAACCGTAAAACAATAACGCCGGATACACACACACACACAAGGTGGAAGAAAAGGCTGAAAGGGTTCTCGAACGATATAAGCAAGACGGGGTAATGGAAAAGCAGCAAAACACCCAACCAAAGAACAGAACGCCAAATGGAATCGCAATCCATGAATCAGACCAAAGAATGATGAAAACAACAAGCATTACCATGTCCGTCGGACTCCCCCAAACTCTCAAACTCCGCATCCCAGGAAAAAGCCGAACCGGTGAGTTGGACCCTTCTCGGTTCGGACAAGCCGGTTGCCCGATGAAGGTAATCTAGATATATCACTGAATTAAATCAAACCCAGCCCCAACTGAAAAGATCAACCGTCGATTCACGCTCTCGTAGATCGCTTCCGAAGACCGAATTCGGCTTCCTGAAGTTCGCGGATCAGACGAAGACTCTCGGCATCCGGCTCGTCGTCAGCCGCACGCTTCGTGGGTTTGTTGGTTTGGCCTGGGGAAATCAAGGCTGCAGTAACACGCTCGCCTTTCTTCTCATCCATCGGCCAGAAGCTCTTCTTCGCATTATGTGATGACGAGGGCCGTGACGCTGATTTCTTGGTCCCCGAAGATGGGCCGGGAGTAGACCTACGTACACCGGTACTTGACGCGCCGAAGGATGAACGACGTGCGCTGGGCGTGTGCGTCGTCGACTTGCTCGTTTTGATCACATGAGCTTCAGGTATATACCGGTCGACCTGGCGAGGCTGACGGGAAGAGTGTCGCGAGCTAGATGTCGGCGTGTGGAGAATCACAACATGCTCTCCTTCACCATCTGCATAATCGTTGGGAACGTCGGTATCGTCCGCCAACGAGGTCGGTGGCGACACGAGCGTAGCTGTGGGCTTAGAAGCAAGAGCAGAGCTGGCCTCGTTTGTTACCACGGTGTCGGACTGAAAGGCAGGCGGTGATGCGTATGAGGTCTGCCCGAGCTGGGCCTCCTTGTCCGTTGCCGCTTGTTGTGGAGAATCTTGATCCTCATGAGCAAGGTCGGCATATGGGTCATGTAGGTCCAGATCCTTAGAAGCATGGCCGACATGGTCATGTACATCCAGCATAGCGTGGTCTCTGCTACCAAAATGGAGCGGCCGAGACACAGGTGAAGTGCTTTCTTGCTTCATCCGTTTGCTGACACCGGAGCCGATTCCTTCCTCATTGGGACGTGGCCGTTTCACAGAAGCCGCGGCTCGTGGCTTTGCTCGTTCTTGAGCTTTGATGGGATCAATTCTTCCATACTCATCATGGATACACCGGCGCTATGGTCAGTTAGCATATGTATATCACGAGATGCAGAACGGCGTAACGAACCTTGCTCTTCCGACAGTCGTCACAGGCCTTGCTCCGGCCTTTCTTCCCGGTATTCTGCCCTTCGGGGCTGAGTTCGTTAGGCCTGTTGGTTGATGCATGCGGGGTGCCCACGGTGATCAATGACGCTTCGAAGCGATCCATATTCCTACTAACGCCATTGTCCTGAAGACCTGCTTCCGATGCAATGGCCGCCAATGAGTTCAGAGCAGACGCTGCATCATGCGCCGGCGAATGGACCCCGGTACCGAAAGCACCCATGGCTGTCTGTTTGGATGCTAGGCTATCATTCTGTTCGTCCTTGTGATGGCAGCGGATTCTGCGTTTGCGACAAGCATCACATGCAACCCGTTTGGGACCGAGCCCCGAGCCCCGAGGTGCTGTTCGAGGCTTAGGCGCGGGCTCCTCTTTGATGCCTGCGTTGGCGCTGGAAAGGCTCGTGGGAATATGAGAATCCGTGGTTGGAGGCACATTGTAACTGGAGCTGCTCTTGTTGCTCGATTGAATCGCCAGGTCCTTGGGTGGCTCCGGGAGTCGCTGCACAGCCTGTCGCTCTGCATAAGTACGTTGGCTGTCCACGTTGCGCTCTGAGCGACGACTAGGTCTTCCAGCTGGCTTTTTCTCGACAAGGCTGAGTTTTGGGTTGCTCTCGATCACGCCGGGGCGAGTCCACTGAGGTGCTTTCTCGTTTCCACGCTTCCATGCAACCCATATCCCAAACTGCTTAACAACGTCGACTGGATCGCCTGGCGTCTTCGGTATTGATCGTTTGACTGCATTCCTAGCATCCATCGTTACCCCTTCCACGAGGTAGGACCCAGCGATCAAGGCGGTACGCAGAAGGTACTTTGCAAGGTCTGGCAAGCCTTCCAACTCTGCTTGTGAATAGAAGCGTGAATTATGATAAGGGGAGCCTGGCGGGGCAGTGTTCGTCCTGTCTCCAAATTCGTAGTATATGGGGTAGTCTCGATGAAAGCGATAATTGTCGTCCTGTGCAAATGCGTCGAGAACGCCCTGGGGAACCGGGTCTTCCTCGAGGTACTTCAACGCAGTATACCACTGGATTTTCTGGAAGAAAGGATACCGGAACTTCCTTGGTACCTTTGTGTCCTTCTCAATGTTTGCAATCTTGATCTGCATCCCATAGTTCAGCCTCGTCAAAAAATTACCACCAATGACCAGGCTATTCTCCGGAGTCCAAACAGCATGGATCCAGCCGGAGGGAATCAACATTGTGTCGCCTTCAACAAGGTCCACGCGGTAGCATTCCTTGGTTTGGTCACCGAGAAAGGTGGTATCCTGTGCGGGCGAATTGCACCATTCCTCATATTTCTTCAAATGCTTGTCCGTTGGCGGGATGAAGAAAAAGGTCTTCTTGCCTTTCAAAATATGATAGTAGACGGACGACCCGCCAAAATCAATATGAAAGTCGGTGTAACAGTCGGCCACAGACATCAAGCAGTAGAACTGTACTTTTGGGTAGTCTCCCACTGCTTGAAGTTCACGGGGCCAGACCGAATCTTGCAGATCCAGATCACGAACCACTTTTGGTCGTCGGATGAGCCTGCCCAATGGACTCTGTGAGACTTCTAAGCTGATGACATTTCGCACTATTTTGTCACCAGTGCTCTCATAGTAATCAGCCCATTTTTGCATGGTCCATCTCTTGTCCTCTCCTTGCTGAGATTTGACATCGATGACTTCGACCCTCTCTTCGGGTCCGTAGAGCTCGGCCACCTGTCTAACCGTCAAGCCTTGTGGTATCACCATGTCCAGTTGATCCTGGCCGCAGTCTACCACTTGCTCAAGGCTTTGCTCACCCGCATCGAGATGATCTAAGAGTTCATCAAACATCTCTTGCGTGGGCGCTTCCTGCGCTAGAGCGTCCAAGTCCGGAGGTAGCGTCGGGACCGAGTTGCGAGTATTCCACTCGGCAGGGATGACTATCGGTTCTGTCATGCCACTGCCTCTTTCAAAGTACTCGGCCGTGATGAGCTCCGGGCGCATGCGGGGGAAATTCTCAGGGAGGAACCGGATCTTGCCTTGGCGAATAGGTTCAATGTAATGATGTTCTAGTGAGTCTGTTGCAGCTTTGACAAGCCCTTGGTTCAGACCAGCGTAGTCGATTGCGGTACGGGCGCGAGATGACTTGCGAACAAATGTCGTCCGTCCATGCAAGGGTCCACAGGCGCGGCAAATGAACTTATCCACAGTCCGCACCTCTCTATCATTTTTGAACCCAGCGCAGACGATATGAAACCAGCGCTTGCAGCCGTCGCAACTAATCCACGTCACATCACCCTGCTCTCCGGTGTCGATAGGTATGCGGACGAGATTACAAGCAGCACAGCTAGCCTGACCTGACTCCTCCGACTCCGTATCGTCTTCCGTCTTGGGGGGCAGGTCCGTCGGCATCGGTCCTGCATGGGTACCGCGCATAACATCGGCAGCCTGAAGATTTGATTGTGTGCCACTGAAGATGTGTTTGTTTGCTGAACCCCAGTGATCATCCTCCGCAACCTCTTCATCCTGCCAGAGTATCGGGGGAAGAGTTGAAGAACTGGTGTTAGGTCGCAAGCCCTGTATTGTTGATCGCGCAATGGCTGCTGATCCATCGGACTGTGACCTCATTCGAGATGGTGGAAGAGCGCTATTGCTTGGGATATTGTGGGTAGAGATTCCGGTGTGAGCGGCCCATGATCCCACTGCGGACCCAATCCTATCGAAACGCTGTGTTTCACTTCCGGCGTAAAGAGCGTGCTCATCTATGCTGACTCGTTTGGCGGGCTGAATGGTAGGCTGGAAGTTGGGTCGGGCAAAGTTTAATAGAAGCTCTGCATCCGTCTTCATGCTATCAAGCACCGCAGAAGAATTTGCATCGTGCACGGGCAGCGACCGGTGGGAATGGAACGGCGATTGATCTTTTTCTGAGCGCGGTCGCTTGGCGGGACGTTCGGAGGATTCAATGGGTTCGGAAGGGAAAAGCGACAATGCGGGTGTCGAGTTTTGAGAAGGGGGACGGTAGGAGAGAGGTGCAAAGGTAGGGCTGGTGGCTAGAGCGATGGTCGCGAGAGCGTCGATGGTCGAACTCGATCTGCCATGACTCGGTCGATGAGTAGCGGAATGATCTGCAGCATGATAGCCGGCATGGTTCGGGGGGTACTGGTCACGATCGGAGGCAGCTACCCTGGCGATGCTGCGGTCAATCCATGAGGCTCGGATGTCGGAGGTTGAGCAGGGTGAAATCGGCTCGACGGCGCGTCGCGGAGGTGAGGGAGTGCGGTAACGCGGTGGTCGAGTCCCGAGATGGGTAGAAAAGGATGTTGCACTAATCATAATGAGGCCTGAAGATAGAAAATCGAGCGGGAAAGGAGCGAGACGAGGCCCGGAGGAGAGAAAAGGTGCTTGCGGCAGACGGGTGCGAAGCGGGGATATTTGACCACACGGGCTAGAGACGGGCCACCGCAGGCAAAGAGAAAGTCATTCCTGGCAGAATGGGGAGCGCACGAGGAATAATGAGATGAATATAGAAGTCCGAATGGGAAGGTTGGTGGAGGAGAAGTGGTGGGGGGGGAGACGGGGGAGAGAGGAAGTCGACGGAGCAGAGTCGCACGGCGGAGGTTGAGGGGGGAAGTTGAGCGAGCCTCTGCCGACGGGCGGGAGAGAGAGAGAGAGAGAGAGAGCGCGCGCGCAAGAAAGCAGACAACGGGAGAAAGCTGCACTACAGTAGGGTGCGGAGCGGAGATAGAAAACGGCAAATTCAAGAAATAGAAGATAAAGGAAAATTAGCGATTGAAGAGTTGCGCCTCAAGATAAGGCCGGAGAAGGAGGAGGAAGGAGGAGGGGTTTGGCAAGGGACGATGGGCGGCGATGGAGGCCGAGAGGAGAGGAGAGGGGAGGAGGAGGAGGAGGGAGTCGCCGGACGGAGGAGGACGACAAGGCGCCCGGCGTGAGGGAGAGGGAGACAGAGAGAGAGGGAGAGGGAGAGAGAAAGAGAGTCCTCTGCTGTCTGCCTCAGGCAGTAATCCTACCTAGAAAAGTATTGCTGTTGTACTCCTTCCTAGTAAATCGTTTGAGGCCCCAGAATATGACTTTAGAGTACTTTAGCACCATTTCCATTGGTCATATCCTAACTCTGAAGCTAAACAAAGATTCTATTGCATCTTTTCTATAGTTATGAGAGCTGTAGGAAGTCAACTATCATCAAACTCCCATTAAAAGTGAGGCTCCTCCTCCGAGGCGACTAAGCCCGATCAGGCAAGGCAGCCCAGTCTCCCGAACCTCGTGCTCGTCGCGGATATTGCTTCCCTCTCTCTTGCTCCTCTCTTGCCTTCTTCTCCTCTCTTCCTTCTCATATAGCTTCCTCCAGACCCCCGTTGGGTATCTGACTCGACCTTGATTCCTTCTTTAACGTCTTTCTACAGCATCTACTGTCCCACCCGAGAATGAGCCGAAAGCTCGCCCCCGAAGCCAATCGGTAGGTTCTGTTCGAACAATTCTACCCCTCCCCTTCCGGTAGCCCGCCATAGTCTCCCGCTTCGCTCTTGGGCTTCAGGGGCCTTGAGCATGCGTTCTTGTCTCTATCGGAAGGTTGGATCTGGTTCAACTTATGACTAACGGGCCTCCAGGATTCTCTTTGTCAAGAACCTCAAGTATGCCTTTCCTCGCATCGGAATCTCTAGAACCCGCCTGTCGATCGTCGCATCGCCATTCAAACGGATACATTCCGCAACATATGATATCGTCAATCACGACATGAATGCTAACAACTTGGGTCCTTATCTAGCTACAACGTAACAGCGGAGCAACTCTTCGACCTCTTTGGCAAATTCGGTCCCATCCGGTAGGCCTCTCCGTGACTCACGCGCCATCGTCCAAATTAGCGTCAACTCCGCAACTAACGCTGTCTCTGGCAGACAAATACGTCAGGGAATCGCAAACAACTCCAAGGGCACTGCCTTTGTGGTATACGAGGACGTTCACGACGCCAAACAGGCATGCGATAAACTCAATGGCTTCAATTTCCAGAACCGATATCTCGTTGGTATGTTTTCTCCGTGCGGTGGGAACTCGGAACGGTCATCGGACGAGAAGGATTGCGCGGCTGACATTCGCTGCTCCGACTTCTAGTTCTATACCATCAGCCTGAAAAAATGCTTAAATCGAAAGAGGACCTGGCGGAAAGGCAAGAGAATTTGGAACGTCTCAAACAGCAGCATGGTATAGAATGACGTGATGATATGCTTTTTTTTATCGCTTTCTCCGCATGCCCTTTGCCGGCAGCTGGTTGCGTGTTCACATGGGTTGGTTGTGGGGTTTTCGGCGTTTATTGTTCTCCTCTGGGTTTGATGATGATCGCTCTTATTCATTCATGGGTCTGAAAGGGTTGCCGGCGGGTAGATTGAATGAAACTCTGGCTTGGCTGAAGTCCGGAGTAGAAAGTGGTACAGAATGGGTTATTTCAGGCTGGGATCGATTCCGATGCACCGGTTAGTCACTGCTATCAATATAATCATTTCGATTGCCGGCCACTTGCGGCTGTTGCGGCAAACCTATGGAATGCGGCGTGCAGACGTCATTGTTATGTGTGAAGTTTGTAGCGATAATACCACTGTACTGTATCTACCTGGGACGATTGAATGAATAGAGGTTTGTGCAGCTGAGGCCCTGGAGCCCTAGAGCCCCAGAATGCTTAGTTCATGTCTCCACGATCGCCCACCGGCTGCATCATACGTTGTCAGTGGATCAGCCCGGTGAAGATCATGTAGTTGTATGCCTAGTGGTCCCTGCTCCCCCCCTGAGCGGCCTGCGTAAGGCTAGCCAACTAGTGCGATAGCTTATATTCTTGCCAGTTTCGCCTTAGCTATAGCTACCAGTAGTCATAACGTCCACTTGCGAGTCGTTGGTTGCGGTGACTTAGTGCAATCATAGGCAAGGATTCTATATCTTTTTTCAATATGCACTGTACCGAATATACAACTTAAAGCACTAGCTCGTGCCATACACATGTATAGTACAGTACGGGAATTCGGTCCTCCAACTACATCCTAGGAGAAAGACGGTGTGTCGAATTGATGCATGCTCGGAGGCTGGAATTCTTTGGATACAGAGGTAGCCACTTGACCCAGTCTCTGAATGCTCCCAGACCATCGTGGCTGTTTGAACGCCTCTTGAGGTACCTAGTAAAGTACTGTACAGTAGTTACTCGCATGAGACCTCAAGCCCCTAGACTACTATGTAAGTTAGTTAACTAACTTAGCGCCAAAAGTCCAGAACTAATGCGTGGCTGCCGCCTTGGGTGCCTGAAACCTCAGACATCGAGATTTTCCCCTTCGGTTCTAGACTCCCCCGTCCCCATTAATCTGCCGGCCCCACCGCCGCGACCGCCCTCCAAAGATTTTCTTTTCCGCAGCCCGGAAAGCCCATGAGGATTGAAACCTCAACCACCATCTTTTCCTCCTTCACCTTCTCTCCAGCATCTCGACCTGCACCGCGGCAGTGATCCTTTGCGTGAGCCTGCTTCTTTGAAATCTCTCACGACATCTTCCGTCCTTCTTTTTATTTGATCTTCCCCATCTATCACCATGGCTGATACCTCTGCTGGTAAGAACGCTCCCAAGCCATAAGAAAAAAATTTCCATATACTGACGATAATCCAGCCTGGCCCTTGGCCGACGAGAGCCTGACTCAGAGCCTTCTGGACCTTGTCCAGCAGGCCTCCCACTACCGCCAGCTCAAGAAGGGAGCTAACGAGGGTAAGCATCTCCACGATCTCCCATATTGAAGCATCTTCCCAATCGCGCCTACATCTTTTTCTTCCACCTTCCAACTAACCCAACCCTTCCCCCCACAACAGCCACCAAGACCCTCAACCGCGGTACCGCCGAACTGGTCATCCTCGCCGCCGACACCTCCCCGCTCGCCATCGTCATGCACATCCCCCTTCTGGCCGAGGACAAGAACTGCGTCTACGTCTTCGTCCCCAGCAAGCTCGCTCTCGGCCGTGCCTGCGGTGTCTCCCGCCCCGTCATCGCCGCCAGCATCACCACCAACGAGGCCAGTGACCTGATGGGCCAGATCCGCACCCTCAAGGACAAGGTCGAGAGACTCATGCTGTAAACTAGCGGGGCCAATCCTTTTTTTTTCCTGTTCTGTGTGGTGGACTGGTGAAAATGACGAACATGCGCCATTCGGCCTTTTATGTTTGTTCCAACGGGGAATTGATTTCCATGTCTCCTCCCCCACCTCTTCGGTATGCGTGCAGGAGCTAGCTTGCTTTGCGGGTAGGCTCCCAGGGGGGGGGGGACTGGCTGGGACTGGTTGAGATGGGTGTTTTACTTAGTGGATTGGGGGGAGATTGCGATTTGCTTTTTTTCTTTAGCAATTTTGCTCTCTGGAACCCATGGACCCCCCTCCGCTTTTGCTTGGGTTTAGACAGTTTATTGGCTTAAATGTCGAATTCCACGATGTTCGCTTGGCTTGTGACAAGATGTGTTGATTTGGGCTGGGTAGAAATTGTTCTAAAGTTGGGCTTCCAAACCGGCACGTGCGTAGGCCAGTCTATCGACCAAACCATAGTTGCTATAAGTCACAGTCGTGCTATCAAGCCAGCCAACCCAGCAAGGCCTCGAGCTCACCACATGACTAAAAAGTCATCAGCTTACGAGGCGTACAGAGAGTATTTCTTGTTGCTATTAATGCATTTGTATTGAAACGTCCCCTCACTCACTCCTTCACTTCGATAATCGTTCTCATTCCTGAATTCGCTCCCTGTCGAATGTGCTTCAATCCACATATAGATCGCGATAATATGATGATCAGATACATGTCTCCGTAAGGAGGAAAACAAGGGATTGCAGGTATGATCCACAACAATGAAATACGTCCACCCACCACTCTATCGCAAATCCCACCTTAATAAACACAGAATAAGAGCAGGCTCCATGGGAATCATGCGGTGCATCAATATGTACCGATACAGAAAGGAACAAAGTCACAAACCAGACAGCCTCCAAAAATACAGCCGTCTTGAAAAGAACGTCAAAAACAAATCAAGGCTCATTAAGGTTACTTTTGGTGTCAATCCGGCCGGGGTATGGTACTGAGGAAAAGCAGAAATAGCAGACAAGCAATAAACATCTCGAAGTATGCAGTATGGGCCATGACTCTGACAACCATTCAATCATCATGCACAAATCAGATGCACGGAAGAAACTGGTGGAGTATTAGCATATGATCCAAGGTTAGATCGGGGTTAGGTAAACTCACGTTCATCACAATCAGCATTGGAATGTCGAATACGTCGCGCTTCACTGTCCAGCAGTAGGCGCAGTCAACCTTGCCATCCTTAAACCCCAGCTGATTCATTCCAGCCTCGCTAGCGATTCCACCCTTACGCAGGTGATTGTTCCATCGTTGGTTATCTTCTGATGCCAACTCCATATCCTCTTTCGTCTTGTACTTTAACAATTTGCATGTCCGCATCACACTGCCGCGGGAGTCTCCGAACGCCAAGCGGGCAAAATCTTCGTAAAATTGCACCACGCTGTCATCATCCAGTAATTCGGCAAGAAAGACGGGGTGCGGCCGCCCTGGGGTTTGATTCTCGCCCGCAGACCCGCGCGGAGTGAAACTGCGGGAGGAGGCCCCTGAGCTTGGAACTGATGTGCCCCCCGTATTCACATTTAGATTTGGCTCCTTGCCCAGAAGCACATCCTTCTTCCACCCAGTCAGAATACTGAATTCCTTGCCCACCGCGGCAATCTCACCCGTCCGACGGCAGACAATCGTAGGCGTTCCGCAAGCGTTAATAAAGTCCTCGTACTCCCAAAGGGTCCGCTGAAAGCACTTCTCCATGAAAATGAGATCGTCTCTGTTTAACGTCTTTGTTGTCGCGATGAACGAGGGTCGAATTGATGCCAGCGCCTTGGCAATTTGTAAGGTCTTCTGGGGAGGAAATCTCCGTTGAATGAAGGCAGTGAGATTGTGGAAGCGACTAGTGTATGCGTAGGGCTCCTTTACACTCTCGTAGATCGAGGATGGATTCCTTTGTCGCCGGCGCACTCCCACATGCAGATTCTGGTGCTTCAGACTGGGTGTCGTGATGGCGGGTCGTTGATTGGTTGGAACCAGGCCATTCGCCTTACTGGCAACAGCGGCGCTAAACGGAGACTCTTCGAAGCCGCTCGTCATTTGAGGACTAGTTGTTGCGCCAGGGCTGTTGAAATGGCCCGGGCCGCTTTCGATCGCAAACGCATGAGGCGCATCGGCTTTGGATAAGTGTCCGGGTATCACGTTCCCTTGACTAGACTGAGGGTAGACGCTGGGAACATTAACATGCGCCTGGCCCGGAGCCTGGCTGCTCGGCCATTCGTTTAATAGCGGGTCACCGAACATGAACGGCTGCTGGTTGCCGGGACTTTCCCCGAACCCCGGCCCTCCGGTGATTGGAGTCGACGCAAACTGGGCAGAGCCACTGCGACCCATAGAACCGCGCTGCGTGGCTGAATCGCTAGGCGAGTCCCCAGCACCTGTCGCCATGTGTCCCAGCATACCAAACTCCAGCGCACCGTACCGGTTTTCGAAGTTCATGCTAGAAAGATCAAAGTTGAATAATGCGGGGTCACTGGGATCGAAGAATGGACCGGCGAACGGGTTGGGGTTCTGGGTAGGCGGACCCGAAGCACTCGTGGTCGTTGGCTGTTGATTGACTGACGAAAGGCTGCTGTTTCGAACGGTAGGAGTGGCCTTCAGATTGTAGGACGGTGAGACGGGCGACTGCGATGGGAACGAGGCCTGATTCATTGGGTTCTCTTGGTAGACATTGTAGGACGTAGATTGGGGAGTTGGATAGAAGTTGGCTCCAGAGTTCGGCGGCGCGGCCGCGTTGACGGCGTTGGCGCCGTTTCTTGACAACGGCAAACTATTATTGCGCAGGGGATTGTTGTAGAAGTTTCCACCGATACCCGGCATCAAGGCTCCGTCGGGCGCATCATGGAGGTACTTCGCCTTTTTCCGGACCCCATCCTGACATGCATCTTGTAACCCACGCTTGATACACCGCTGACAGGGTCTTTCATCACCTGTGCGCAAAAAGCTCGATTAGTTGCACGTCCTTAATCCAGCTACACATTCGCTGCTCCGCGACGTGTCACTCGGGAAGCGCGAATTAGAGCGCCTAAGCAGCTAGATACGAAGAAAAGCACGAGAATGTCCAATGCAAGAGGGGAAGAGAAAAGGAAAGCTAAAGACAAGGTCAGTCATACCGCAAGTCAAATGCGCCCGCTGGCAAGCGAAACAAGCCCTGCGCGCCTTTTTCCTCCGCGGCCTCGACGGGTCCTTTGCATTGGCTGCCTTTTGCCCAAGCGACACGACGCCTTTGTCCTTCTCGTTGCCGTTCACCTCCGTCTTGGGGGTTTCCGACTGCTCATCGGCCGACCTGATGTCGTGATTGGGACCAGTCGGCTCTACCGAAGGGGCTGGGGAGCTCTTCTCCTTGGCGTCCACGTCCATTTCGGCATGAATAGCCCGACGGAGCGGTGACTCGGTAAGTCGGTTTAGGGTGAGAGCCGAGTTGCGCACGTGCAGTTTCCTGTCGAAAGGAAGCTTTGCCACCTCAATGTTCGAACGTGAGCGATATAGCCGAGGAGGTATCACAGCCTCAGCGCCACGGTGTATCCCCTTTCGAGTACGATCTCTCGGGCGTCCTCCAGAGAATCGATCTGGAAAGAGCAGGTATGTGGTTTGTTTCGTGGTTTAGGCGCATGGAAATCCAAGCACGGACGGTGTATATTCAACAATAAGGTCGAAGTGCGAGAACGGAGCGAAGAGCGGAATCGGCCGCAAAACGGAGGGTTGTAGAGGACGGACGGGCGGAGGAGAGGAGAGCTGAAGGGAACCTTGCGTGCGGGACCGAGGGTAAGATGACGAGGTGGTCTGCAACTCGATCGAGGGGGGTCAAATGCGACGAGAGTATTGAGATTGCTGTGTAGGACTAAGATCCTGACAATACTTTCACAGTCACGCGAGCGACAGTTCGAAGGGAAAGGGAAAGGATCGTTAATTCGTAATTGTGGTAGGGTAAGTTGAAGTGGAGAGCGAAGACTGGGCTCAATTTGTTAAGGCTGCGGGGAAAACCCAAGAAACCCAAGAACAGGCGCGCATCAAGAGTCGGTCGGGGAGGAGTTATAAGGCACCGAACCCGGGGGGAGGAGCAGGAGGAGGGGAGAGAGGGGAGAGAGGGGATTTGCAACAGGAGGGGTAAAAGACTCAAGAGGAGGGGGGGAGGGGGGGAAGTAGAAGGATAAAACGCGGGGGTGAGAATGTCAGAACACAAGAAGAAGTGGTGAGTTAGCGACAGAAATGAGGGAATTGACAGAAAGAAGAAACAAGGGAAAAACCGACAGACACGAGGGCGTCAAGGATGGCTGCGATCGAAGCGTCGGTTGGTTTGGAGTTTCGGTTACGGTTACCGTACCAGATTTAGATACCAGACACTTCTGCATGCATACATGCAAGCAATCGGTCTATCAGGCTGTCGCGTGTCGCTCAACTCTCACCGATCTTTAGATGAAAAGGATGTTGTTGCGGTCTGTTTTTAGGATGAAGGGGGCTTGGGACTGTGAGAGCTGTCCAGCCATGTGAAAATGTGAAGATGTGAAGACGTGAAGACGTGAAGATGTGCAGATGTCAAGATATGGAAATGGCTGTCGCATGTGACATTCGAGGAAGAAAGACATCATCACTCTCCAACAACAGACTATATCTAGTACTCGAGATACGGATCTGATCTCCCGTGTTGCACCGCCACTATTCCATGATCGTTTGGAAAGGACATTCAATAGATTAAAGAGCTCGACACTTCTATAGTGTAAGGTACTAGGGTACCTAGTAGTACAGTAAGTACACTCTGAACTACATGTTACCATCCCAATTGCCTGATTGAAGCAGATATTCCTCACTGTTGACCTAACTATACAATTGTCTGAGTAATTGGAGCGTCCCTCGCAGTTTCCTCAAAGTTACCGGTTTACTACCGCCTGTACCATACGTTACCTGAGTATAAATATCCTCCGTTCCTATGCATTCCTGTGGGCTTTATTATCAGAATTCTCCCACGT